GAAAAGAAGCTACCGAGAGTGGTGAAAAATCGGGGGCGCCGTTTTTCAAGATCGGGACGTCATATTAGAGGAAAGTGCGTTCTGCCTCAATTATTGACCTGCCGCCGGACCATAGATTCGTGCTGTAAGGTCTCTTCGAAACACACGGTGGTTTGAAAAATTGGTTCGAGGAGGCCACGTACAAGAAGAAGGAAAAAATATTGTTGTTGTGTGCGATGGTCCATAACATTCATCCTGTACAAGAAACGGTCTGCCCTAAAGCAGAATGGTGCTGATGAGTCAGCCCAGAATATCTGATCACAGAGCCGCGAACTTTGTCGGGTTTCCCCGCGAGATGACATCCCTGCCTGCAATTACGTGTACGTGTTATGACGATAAACTGATGGATGATCCAAGGGGGTGTGCGCATGGGTACCCGAATTTCTCTTATTAGAAGCACGACGCGGGTGAAGCGCTTCCAAAGCCGGCAGTAGGGTAACGATTCTATACATCTAGCATAGTCGATTGTCTCTCAAGAGTGGCGACGGATACCAACTCGTCCTGGCCATTCAGCAATGAGATTATACTCTAGAAAGCGTCTTCGGGACGCTTGATTATCAGATCTGCCACTTCCAAATTCTGCTAAACGGCTGCTGGCGTGGGAGAGTTACGGCGACCCTTTTTTTTGTCTACCTTGCTTAACCGATGCGGCTGCGGCTCCCTGCCATGCTTTGCGCCCTCGTCAACCCCTCGTTGACCAGTCCCTGGTCGTGCTCGATGGCGCCATTGGGCCTAGGCTAATGTGCGTGTGCGCCGCTCTCTACGCTTCTTCACGGGGGCCTGAGGCACGGATGCTCTCGAATCCGTGATGGCATTTCGCAGTTTTCTTTTCTTGAAACGCCCATGCGCTAAACAACTTGGAAGGTCTAGATTTTCGCATACCTGTCCGCCCTCCACGACCCCTCCCTGCCTATTTATGGCCCGCGCGGAGACGACTTTCGTTTTGTGAAAACTACACTTTTGCTTAATTAGCCTTCAAGTCAATGGACTCAATTCAACAATACACACTCGCATATTGCTCTGGAGCTCGTGACACTGCTCCCTATATTCCCTATTTAGCGATCGCCGCACACCACGTAGATACCGTCGGCCTTTCTTCGAAAGAATTCTTGTCATTCTACTGGGGTACGCCTCTCTTCATACTCAGACCGCCCCATATTAACCAACACTTTTAGGGCGAACCATTAGTTGAAGTTCTGCAGACTCTGGTGCTACACACCTAGTGTTAAGAATTCGGGTCTTGCGATATTGTTTGATCACTATCCCCGTGGACGATAAAGAATGCGCATTCGCAGAGAGATATTTATTACCTTATATCTGACGTCGGACGCACTGTACTACACCGTATTAATCGGACTGCGAGGGAGATAGCTGCGTGGAGGACGAACACACGGCCATCCTTTCGGGCATCAATTGCATAACGACTGGAATCCCTTTCGCAGAGCATCTAATCCAATTTGATTTACAATTTCTTTCTTATCTGTATTCAGCAGGTGACCGTGAACACTAATCCAGACGAGTTCGAGAGTTCTCTCAATATTGCAAATTACATAATCAGTCGAGGAGGGATCTGTGACGAATAGGGATGGTATAATTATTATATACAGCGAAATTCTTCTTTATTTGTCGCCAGCTCACAACTCGTGAAGACTTTTTTGCTCTAACACTGATTTTGCTATCGGATATCAACACTGTGCTCGCTAAAGGCACAACCTGCCGATAATGGCAATCACAGATAGAGTGGATTAGGGTTGCCGTCGCATAGACATAGTGGCCTGTATAGTAACTCATTGAGGAGCAGCGGTAATGAACAAAGAGGGCAGAAAATTGCACTGTACGTCACCCTGCCTTACATCTTGGATCAGTACATCCCATTTCAAGCCACTTTGTGACGTTGCCCAGCTGAGCTCATCTCCTACACTACGGCCCTCATCACACAACTTAGTTCACATCTAAGAACTCTACTACCATTACAAGTGAGCTTACGATTTTCATGCTTTTTCGTCCTGCAGCCTTCAGTTTTCATTGGATGATGGGCTTTGAAGGCGGAGTCAGGAGAGCGGAGTCACTGATAAAAAGAGAGTGTCCTCTTGCCGCGCCAGTCCATATATTTTCGATTATAGCCCACTCAATAACAATTTTCCTCGCCGTAAACCAGTACAAGGTGTTTCTTGGCCGGGACACTTACCCTTCGCGACGCCATATTTCCAACTTTATTCGCTGATCGTGACAAGCCCTTGATGTTTCCAGGTAATACGAAAAATATACAGGGGGGGCCAAAAAAAAAAAGTCATTTTAGCCTCCTAATGACTATTCAAAGGACCGGCACAGTATAAGTTGTACACTTTATTGAATTTTTGATCGGGACATTTTTGCGACCATATTAAATGAGCACATTAAGTTATCTAATAATGATACTCCGCCACAGCCTCTGGAGGAGCGCCATCGAGAGATTCGGCCGCGCGAAAGTGGGTGGCGTACCGGAGCTGAGCACGAAGAGATAAGTCAGGGGTTTATCCTCCAACCGATAGACGCACCCTATCACTGGCCGCACCGACCAGCAGTAATTGAGGGGCATTCAGCGTCAGCTGGGCATACTTCAATATTGCATCTTCCTTCAGGATACGAGCCGGCCCTTCGCATTACGAATAGAATAGTGGAGGGAGAGTTTTCCAAAACCGCTTCGTTATTACCGGATGTGATGGCCCACCAAAACCTGTAAGCGGAGTACACTTTGTCTCCAAGGGAAGGGTACGACGCGACAAGCATGGTGGGGAGCGATATTCTTACATAACGAAGTCTGGCTTGATGTAACCGCCAGCCGCTCACCTTCGAGTCGGGGTCTACAAAGAAAATATCGCGGTCTTTCGCCGTTCATCACAACGGTACCAATATGCGTATACCATCAACTCGCGCCTCGTGCGAATACGGCTGAAGGGAATGACTGATGCCTAAACCGTAGCCGACGTTGCCGTAGCTGTCGATGTGGGAGGTCTTGCAGATCAACGAGTACTGACCTCCAGGTGCTATCTGTGGATGAGACTTCATTCAGAAGTTCGCAGCTGTTTGGAGGCGGACTGTGAATTTCCAAAGGTGTTCTCAGTCACGGCCGCAACTGGAGATGACTTTCAATATTTGAGCAGTAATGAAAGGCGTATGGAGGACAGCAGTGGCTACCAGCTCATGTTATAAGCAGCCGAGATCTTGAGTATGTTCCAGCCCTGGTACTCATATCCACTTGTCCCCTGTCTGGGCTGCGCGGAAAATTCGTTGATATGTGGCTCGGCCGAAATGACTTTTTTTTTGGCCCCCCCTGTATGCCTCGAATGAAGCTGTCACGCAATGAATGCTTTCACTGAAGTTAAAATAAAACTCCTGAAAAGTCGCACATAGGCTCTAATAAGGAGCAGGGAGGGGTCGTGGTGGTCGGACAGGTATGCAAAACTACTTCCCAAGTGTTTAGCATGCGTTTCAAGAAAAGACAAAACTACGAAATGCATCAAGGATCCGAACCTCCGTCTCACCACTATGAAGCCATCCACTTACCTGCTCTCCATCGAGCCGCGGCGGAGGCTGGGTCACGAGGGGTTTACGAGCGCAAGCATGGGCAGGGGGTCGCACCGCAATGGTTAAGCACGGTAGCAAAAAAGGTCCGTAACTCTCCACCCAGAATCGTTTAGCAGATTTGGAAGTCAGATCTGATACCAGCGTCCGAAGACGCTTCTAGGAGTATACATCTCATTCTGAATGGCCAGGACGAGTTGGTATCCTTCCCTTCAGCATGAAATGTCACTCACAACTGTGAAAACGCACCCAGGCCTTAGATGAAATATGGGTGGTCTCAGACCTCGAGCCGAAACCCACAATCGTCAATTTTGTATGGATGCAGATGAGAAGCCGCCCGAGTTCTACCATAAAGAGTAACGTGGGCGCAAATGGATGATCATCATAGCAAAGGATTCCCACACTGTGGCTTTTAAGCGGCTCTATACAGAGAACAAATCCGTCACTGTCGGTGCATATTGCCTGTTCCTCGGCATTCAGATCGACAAATGGATACTACCACACAACTACAAGAAGGCCACCGTTGCTCGTCATAGTACCAGATCCGAGTAACTGTATTGTAGATCAGTGCTGGGACACAAACAATACTGATACCTGGGTTCAATCTCCCCATTCGTCCGTCATAAAGCCATGCGATTACAAATGTTCTATTCAGTTGAGAGTATCTCCGACGGCAGACGCTAGAATGTTTTGTCATTTGCCGAAATTGGCAACAACAGCAATTTACCCACACTTGTTGAAAAATCGAAGGTATCAGAAGTCCAAAGGCCCTCGGGGCACTGCGAGCGGGTCATTGGTGAAGGAGAGATTTACTCATCCTAAAGCTAAAATATCACTTTTCTATCCATTCTCCTCTTTGTTTTATTCAAAAAAAAACCAGCGGCCAGTTTGAATGGGATGACCTAATATTTTCCCCTTCCTAGAAAAAATCAAGCTCCAAGGTTTTTCCTTGAGGTCATGCCTGTGTAAGCTGCCTGCCTCAGTAAGCCGATGAACTCGATTTGCATAGATGCTCTGCTGACGGTTGTACAGGGATACTGACTGTTTTTCAGCACTGGCTTTAGGTAGGTGATCAATATGCGCAGCATCGTAATAAGGTCCTTGCATGCGGCATGGCGTTGCTAGTCGTTCCTTGGAGGCTCAAGCGATCTAATAGAGCCTCGTAGTGAACATGTTTCTGTTATCATGCCGCTCTGGGAGCCTAGGGAAAGGTGGTCTACCTACTATAAACCAGTGATATTTGTGCACCTGTAGTTGTCTCGATGTTATTATCAAAAGGAGTGTGACACTCCTGTGTAAGGCTGAATGATCAGCTTTCCTTTGAACATCCTTAAAAATTCTTCTCTGTTTATACAGACTACTTTTTATTACTCGTGAATATTTTTGGTGAAGCCTCCATGTATCAGAGTCATTTTGAAGGGTTCCAAATGAGTGGAATAGTGTTTGCTGTGATTACTCCCCTGGTCATCTCACAGCTCTACCAACAACCAGTCGTTTACTACCAAGTTCCTTACGCAGGTATGTTCAAAATAAGATTGTTACCTAAATATAACTAGCACATGATTATGTTCACTGGAGAACAAAGATTTATGTGCTCAAAAACTAGAGAAGTTTGAGCGCAAACATTCGTCAACTTTAGGTCCTATAGACGCTGCTTATGGACAAGAAGCAACTATGCCCCATGTAATCACTCAACCGGCATACATAGTACAAACACCGTATCTGCAAGGCTCTTATCAACAGTTACAATTCGCTGGCTTGCAGAATGGGCTGCCTTCAGGTTCACTTCATTTAGGACCAGTCGGTTCGCTCGGTTGATGCCAGACTTTCCTACTTTTCGCATGACCCAACATCGCCTAACACTCGTCCTTTGAATGAGTTCAACCTCCCTGCTGACCTCGGCTGTTACTCCCATCCCAACCTTCTCACAGAGAGGAGAGTCCGGCCTGAGCTGAGCGATACGACTACTCTCCATATGACGCACCCACAGTGGGTGAAATCTGTGTTTTCACTAGATGCGTACAAAATAACTCAAAGAATTACCGTCAGTATAAAGACGTCTGCATAAATGAAACCTCGAACAGAAAAAAGTTTGTATCTCTACCATAGAGAGCGGGCCGTTGAATTGCTTACTAGCACCCTCCTCAAGATTTCTACGATAAGAGTGATTGGTGATAGAGTAGCATTCCGCAGTGTTCCTCATAGTCTGTAAACCTTTTGGCTTTCGTGCAGTCCTGCCCGCGTCTTATAGTTAACCCGTTGGAATTCAAAACTGGCAGTGGCTATATAGGCCGAAATGTCTCCGGAGATCTGCTATGCATTTCCTTACATCCTTAAGATCATTTTTTCATAGCGGGTGAGATTTAATTACAGGTCTGGCTCTTGGACTTTATCAGAATACGCTCGCACGGGAACTGACTGGAGGTTACCTGAACGAATTCCGCGACGCATCTGGCTCCCTGAACAACAATGGCAAGTTATTTCAATACTGTCGGGTCTCTGTAGTAACCCAAGAAACTTTATGGGCTTACCGTTATCCATCAAGCTCCGTAGTCCTCGGTTAACATCACTAAAACTTGACAGAGTGCATTGCAACATTCGGAGTCGGCTCTCGTCGCATTACGGATGGATTTTCTATAAAAACAATGGTTAAATCCGGAGCTAAAGTTGTGGTTCTTACAAATGGCGCGGTAGCTCGATCTCTTCATCTCTGTCTTAGCGCACTTTGAAATAAGAATTGAACTCACATATGCTCAGTTCCTTTGATGGTATAGGGGGGGGGGCCAAAAGAAGACATTTCGACCGAGTCACATATCAGCAAAGTTTTCGCAGCCCAGAGAGAAGACGTGGATACGAGCACCAGGGCGGAGGATACCCAAGATGTTCCTCTATAAGCAGGAGCTGGTGCGCGCCCATCACCTTTATGTACACCAAAATATGAAGTCATCTCCAGTCGTAAGCTAACTGGAGAAGATTCTCGGAACTCATGTCACCTCCAAACCACTGCGAAACTTCTAGTATGGAGTCACCTATGGATAGCTCCCTGGAGACCAGTACTCTCGATCTGCATGACCTCCAACATGGAGCAGCTCCCACAACGTCGCCACGGTCTAGGACATCATCTTCACCACAGTCGTCAAGGTGCAGGTTGATGGTATGGACCGGACGTACCTGGAATGGAGAACCGATATTTTCTTCGCGGGCCCCAGACTGAAGGTGAGCACTGGCGGTTACATCGAGCAACTGAAGAAGAATATCTTCCCCACATGTCGTCGCCCGTACCTTCTTGGAAACTTCGTACTGCTACAGGATTAGGTGACACCACATGGAATCAAAGGGCGTTGGGAAAACTTTTGCCAACTTGGAATGGAGGGGCGTTGAGTACCTGAGGAAGGTGGAATATTCAAGCAGGTCATCTGACCCGAACCCCCTCGATTACCCGGTTCGGGCGGAGTTCAATAGGGTGGTCTACAGTGGCGGAGAAATCAACGATCTCGCTGAACTCAATATGGTGGTGAAAATATCCGATCAGAATTCAATAAAGTTTAACTTATGACGCCTCGAAAGTCAAGGAAGAAAAAAGTCTTTTTTATTGCCCCCCCCCCTGTATATATAGCTTGAGCAAAAAGGCTTGCAACACTTCGTATCACGCCATGTTCGACTCTCAATGAATCTCGGCATGTTGATAGATGATTGTTTCTTCTTATTGAACTGCACTCGAGGTTTTCAAATAATTTTATTAGGCTGACGTTTCGGTGAGATCACCTTCTTCGGAGCCTGAAAAGGGTGGAAAATCACATAACCAATCAGGAGCGAGAATTACCGTACCTGCTAGAACCACTAGGCCGGCTACGAGTGGCACAGTCCAGGGAGCCTTCGAACCGATCGCATTCAAGGTTCAAGTTTGGGGCAGCGGAAGATTTGACCTCGATCAGCCCTTCGTCGGTTAAAGTCAGACCGATTATTAGCTGCGCGGGGGGACCCACTGACAGGATTGCCTGGTTCCTCAACCACATTTTAGCCCAGCTGCTTCGTTACATCCCTTCGCACCTTCCCTACACCCAGATGTTGCTGAACCATCTCAGCAGTGTGCATTCGGACAGTACCTGCGTCATGGAGTCGTTTGACGTGGAAGCCCTCTATACCAACGTCACCAATTCATCTGCTATGGAGGCCGTTTACGAGATTCTTGCGCACCATCGTGATGTGATTGATATGGGTGGGCTTTCCATCGGTCAAATAATGGTTCAAATAATGGTACTGTTGAACGAATGCCTCAGCTGCAACATCTTCAGGTGGTCAGGAACGTACTACGCGCAGACTGGAGGCTTAGCAATGGGACAACGGCTGGCACCTACACTGGCTATTGCTTTTATGCCCAGGACAGAAACGCCAGTATTGGAAAGACTTCCCTTGCTTTACTGTCGATACATCGACGATTGCTTCATAGTCTGCTCCTCCCAGGGTGAAATGGACAAGTGTTTTGCGCTGATGAACGAGCAGTCCGAACACATCAGGCTAACGCGTGAAAAGCCCTGCGACAACGGCTTCCGTTTCTCAACGTCCAGGTCAGGTCCGATAAGGGTGCGTACCTCACAAAGTGGTATAGGAAGCCCACCACCAAGAACATCACTGTCCATTTTCGGTCAGTTCACCTGCTCCAAACCAAGCGAGCAGTTGTCAGGAACATGTTCCGGACGGCGGCAACTGTTTGTACGAGGGAAGAGGAGAGGACTGAGTCACTGAGAATGGCACGCGAAATCGCTCGGCTGAACGGTTATGACCGCCCCTCACCTATGGGACGGATCAGTAGGCTCACAACAACCAAAGCGGGGGGTGATCTTCTTACGAGGGAAACTCCTTTCATGGTACCCTTCATCTCCGATGAAGTAGGCTCTTCCATAAGGAAGTGTCTGAGGAGATCGGGTTTAGAAAACTCTGTTGGTATCGTGGAGATTCCTCCACACAACCTAAAACGCCGCCTGATTCGAAATCATCTTTACGATCGCACATGTGAAACCCCGAACTGCGTAGTCTGCCCGAACGGCAGGGAGGGAGACTGCGCGGTGACAAATGTGATCTACAAGATCACCTGCCAAACATGTGGCGACGAGTACATAGGTGAGACAGCCAGGCCACTTCATGTGCGGGTCAAAGAATACCTCGACGGGGAAGCTAGGTCACGGGTGTCCACTGCGCTGGGTTGCCACAGGGTGAATGCCCATGGCGGGGTCGAATTCGGGGTCACGGTAGAGGTCCTGGAGCAAGAAATTCAAACTGCCGCACGCAAAACCCTCGAGGCATTTTGGATCCAGGTCAGGGATCCAAAAATGAACCGGAGGGGAGAATGTCTGTCAATTACGCGGGAGTTAACCCCGTATATGAGGCTGGCGTTCCCCACGGAACCCTGAATGCGATCGGTTTGAAGGCTCCCTGGACTCAGGGCACGCCATTGCGTTGTGATCATTTCCTGAAAATACGACCCCCCCTCCCCATGTTATATCTTCCCTAGATTTTTCCAACTCCTACCACTTTGTCTATTTTTTCCCAAAAAATTTCTGGTTTTTTTTTGCAAAATTTTGCTGTCGAGCGGAGGGGGGGGGGAGGTCACAGTACCTACGTACGTCCCAAGCACGTCCAGCACTCTGGCGCTGGTGTAGCATACTGACAATGCGTATGAGGAATGGGCGATGATAGGAGCTACGATTACCGCCCACAAGGGTACCATGAATTTGTATACAATGGTCGTCACGCTGCTGCCAGTCCTTAGGCACCTTCTTCTCTTCGACGATCTGGTTGAAGAGTTTCGTCAACCAACCCGCAGGAAACCAGCGTTGTGACTTCCACAAATCGGCTGCGATGTCGTCGGGGTATGTTGCTTTGCCGGCCTTCGTCTTCCTCAAAGCAGCTTCGGTTTCCTGTACGGTGATCTTCTGAACGGGGCCATATGTTGGCGCGGTACAGGGTATAGCGGCGATGGTGCGAATTCTACCGGTTGAGATGCCCTCGAAGTATTCACGCCATAGTTGCAATACAATTTTTTCGGTCCATCAGAAGGTGTCCATTCTCATCGCTTATGCCAAAAAACTTCTCAGTGTCTTCGGTTTGGCGATGACGAGATTTGGCAAGTCCGTACAGGTACCGCTCACCGTCGCGCGTCTCCAGCTTCCTGCTGATATTATCGAAGTGAGCGGCCTTTACCGCAGCTACGGATGTCTTTGCCGCCTTCCTCGCTTCCCGATACTGCCGCCAGTTGTCAGCCGACTTGTGCTCGAGAAACGCGTGATAGAGTCTTTTCTTTTCGCGAACCTTCGCTTTGATGTCGTCCGTCCAGAGCCATGCCTCTTTGTCAATTCTCCGCCGTCCAGGCTTCGTCGTGCCGAGTTCGGAGGGGGCGGCCTGGGTTATAGAATTAATAGCTTCGTCCCAGGTCTCCTGAACAGTTGTGACTTCAGTAGTCGAATACGAGAAATCACAGCTGCCTCCCGCTCTTTTAGTCGCCACCATTTTATTCTCTCAGGACCGCATCGTTCTGCCTGCCTCGGTCTGGGAGCTACAAGTTTGAGCGTGCAGATCAGTGGGCGGTGCTGCGTGGCAACGTTTCATACGGTACTACCTTAGCGTCCGTCACGAGTCGTTGGTCGCCATGTCTGATGGGGTCAGTAGAAATTGGTACGCTTGACCTCGTTAATGACTTGTATCGCACCTACGATTCGAGGCATAATTAGCGAGGTGCGAAGCGACCTCATTAAGCCGAGGCACGTTAGCCGAGGCGGGCACGTGCTCCCAAAATCGGCACAAATCGAGCGAAAACTCCCAACAGACTAAGGTTAGGGCTTACGAAAAAGAAAAAAAGATTGAGGTGAAGGCTTACGAAAAAGTAGTACGATAAGGTAGTGCTACCTGTCAAAATGAATAGAATGGTATAATGCGTTGCTTTTAACTAACAAATTCAAGTAATCGATAGAAAAAAATGTAAATCCGATCATTCAAGAGCTCATGACGAGAAGCTTCAAGAAGGTTTGTGGAAACCCATACGCTGACGAAGTGCACTATTGCATATAGCTGAATCTCATTGCCTGCATTCGGCGGGTTACTTCTGGTAATGCCCCTCTGGCCTTCTATATTGCCCCGGTAATGACTTCTCTATCACTTTGAGAGCCCTCTGGCCAAACATGTGTTGCCATGTATTCAAGTACTAATCCAGCATTACTATATTCCGCTGATTCCTGCTCTTCTGTGGATGCAGCCGTTCCGTGTTCAGCGTTTCTTCAGACGTCGTCTTCCACACCTTTGTATGTCACACCGCTCCACAATTTTTATACGGTACCAGCACCTTCGTATGACGTAGGGCTTGTATCAACGTGCACATTTCCTCCCGCACTGGCACCTTCTCAGTTCGTCGGTCAGGAACCAACATACTGCGTTACTCCAGCACCGGGAACATCCTACTTCGTCGGTCAGGAAGCATCACTTTCTTCGTTTTATTAATGAGACTATTATTATTTTCAGATTCAATGAGCTTTATCAGCAGGGAGCATCAAGCGCCCAAATAGAGTCCTAC